CGGGGAAGGGGGAGGGGGGAATTGAGGAGAGGGAGCCTGCCAGCAGACCGTGAAAGAAGTGTGCAGGTCCTCCAGGAACTGAGGATGTTTAGCCTGGATTAGAGGAGATTTAGGGGCAATCCAGTAGCTGTTTTCATGTAATTGCAAAGCTGTCACTTGGAAGAAGCAGTTGGCTTGTCTTGGTTTACTCTGAAGAGCCAAGTTGAGAGCAATGAGGGGGCAGGGATATTTCAGCTCCATATTCGGAAAAAGCCTTCTTACATTTAAAGCTCCTGGCTGAGAATGGGCCATTCCTTGAGAGGCAGCTTAAGCCCTTGCCCACCACCCACAACCCCTGAGACAGTCAAAAGCTGGATAGCAACATGTCTGCTATGATACAGAGGGCATTTCTGTGTGCTCTGGGCTGGACAAGCCTCTCAAATCCATTCCACGTCTCAGGTTCTTGGTTCTGTTGATTCCTTCTGAGCAATGTTATATAAGATCACAGAAACCCAAATATCTCAGAGCTGGAAGTCCAAGACCTTTGAGGCCTTCTACTACTAATACTATTACTGCTGGTGATAATGATGATCGTGGTAATGATGATGGTGGTGGTGATGATGATGATGGTGATGATGATGGCTAGTATACATAGAGAGCTTTAAGGTTTGCAAAGAACTTTAAATATTGTTTTAGTAGAGACTCCCAGAAATCCCAGGCAAAAGACAAGCCAATTAGTCTGATTTCAGAGGTGCCAGAAAACCCCAACCCAATTGTACCCCCTTCTAAAAAATAGCTCCCTAACCAACCTGCTCTTTGATTCAGAAATCCCTTTCTCAGGAGAGCCACATTGTGATTCCAGAACTAGGAATAAAAATTAAAAGGCAAAGATGTTCAAGAGAGACAGACTTCAAGGTGGAGGGGATCTTAGAGGTCATTGAGTCCAAACTCTTCATTTTACATATGAGGAATCTGAGGCTGTGAGAAGTTAAGGGACTTGCCCAGGGTCACACAGCTAGCTAGTGCTCGAGGCAAAATTTAAACTCAGATCTTCTTGACCTTTAAGTCCCATTCCCACTACCCTCTCCAATCAATCATGTGACCTTGTTGTTCAGTCATTTTTCAGTCATGTCAGACTCTTTGTGACCCCATTTGGGGTTTTCTTGGCAAAGATACTGGAGTGGTTTGCCATTTCCTTCTCCAGCTCATTTTACAGATGAGAAAACTGAGGCAAACAGGGTTAAGTGATTTGTCCAGGGTCCCACAGGTAGCTAGTAAGAGTCTGAGCCCAGATTTGAACTCATGGAGGTGAGTCTTCCTGACTCCATGCCCAGCACTCTATCCACTTCACCACCTACCTCCTCTCAAAACATATGTAACATAGGGACTCCAACAAATTCACCCCAAAGAGAAGGAAAGTGGTCCCTATTAAATCTTTGGCATGCTTAAACAGAGGGATGGTGGTGAAGAGAAAAAAGGAATCCTGAGCCCCTGAGAGAAGAAATGCTAGAACAGGTTGGGGGTAGCTGAAGATGAACTTTTCCTACTCCAAAATTTCTCCTCAAGGTAGCCCTGAAAGCAACTATACCCAGAGGGCTTAGGGCCCCACAGCCAAGTGTTTTGTGTAGTGAATAAACACTCAAGGAATAGAATCATCCAAGAACAAGGACACAAAGGCCTCCAATGTGCTTTAGGAGCAACTGCACAATGGGAATCATCTGAGCAAGAACAGGTGATGCCTGAGAGTCATGGAGGGTCCCCTTTGGAGCTTTCTACTGGGAAGAGGAAAGGAAGAAGTGGACCCCCCCTTCACAGACAGAGGCAGAAGAGTTCCTTCACTGTCCTACACACACTGTCCAGCCATGTTATTTAACTGGGAGCCAGGCTCATGGCGTCATAGAGCTAGCGGTGGAAGAAACTTTTGTAGACATCTAAGTGGGGTCTGTATGAGCAGTGGGTCAAAGGTCACTGGATCATAGATCTGAAGACAGAAGGAAATTAAGAGGCTATCCAATCTCATCTTCTCATTGCACCAATAAGGAACACAAAGCTCAGGTGAGAAATGATTTCTCCAGGGATTCGAATCCAGAACCCCTGATTCCTCCTTCTGCAACCCATGGTTAGTCAGGCAATAGCAAGCCTTGTGGGAAGAAGTAGAAAATATAGCTGTGTGATAATTTTGGTACAGAAAACCCTGGCCCAGTGTGTTCTTTCTTTTTTTCTTCTTGCCCTTGACTCAGAATTTTAGAGCCTGAACATTCATGCCTCTGTTTTTGCACCATCTACATCTAATAGCATAGCTAAGGAGACATCAGAGAGGAGGGTGACCCACTCTGACACTCTGGGAGGGAGGCTGAGTGATCTCATGTAGTGGGAAAAAAAAAATCAGAGACCTCACTTCCACAATCAGTTAGTTCTGTTTCTAACTAGCTATGTGACCATGGGTAAATAATGGCATCTTTCTGAGCCTCTGTTTTTTCATCTGCAAAACAGCAATAACAATGGTTAATATCAACAGAGAGCTTTAAGATCTACACGTGTGATCTCAATTGACTCCTACAAACAATCCTGGCAAAGAGGTACTATTATTATCCCCATTTCTCAGATGAGAAAATTGAGGCTGGGAGCTTAATTGAGTTGTCCAAAGTCACAGAGCTGATAAGAATCTGAGGCAGGCATTGAAATCAAGTCTTTTTTTTTCTTTTTTTTTTCCTTTTCCTTTCTTTTTTTCCCCCAACATGGCTAATATAGAAGTAGGTTTTTCATGACTTCACCTGTATAATAGGTATCATGTTGCTCGTCTTCTCAATGGGTGGAGGAGGGAGAAAATTTTGGAACTCAAAATTTTTTTAAAAAATGAATATTTAAAAAAACCCACCACCTAAGCACTAAAGATTTCAGATAAACGTAATGGCCAGTCTCCATTCCAAAGAACCAATGATTTGATCTCTTTGCTTCTTCTGGACAGACAGGCAGAGGACTACAGACCCAAAATGCTTCACATGATCCCAGCCTCGGTTTATGTGTCATCTGTTTTGCTTAACTGTTTCTCTTTGAAATAAGAAGGGTTCTTTTAAGGAAGTCAAGTTATTAGGAGATAATATAAAAAGAACACAAATTTCAATAAACATTTTTTTAAAAAGAAAAGATTTCAAGATTTCCTGACTCCAAGTCCTGCATTCTATCCACTGTGCCCATTGATTGTCTCTAAATTTCCTTCCATTCTCTGATTCTAGAGGGTTTTTTTTTAATTCCCTATGGTGTGCTGAGACAAGCTTGCTTGTTTCTGACTTCCCAAGTCCTGGCCTCTGTCACCTCAGTCCTTTAGATTTCCATAGCACCTTTGTTCTGAAGGGCTCAAAGTTCTTTCATGCTGGATTTCTAATTTGTCTCCACCCCAACCTGATGATGATGGTGCCCATTTTACTGATGAACACACTGAGGCCCAAAGAGAGAATAAGGGCATAGCAGGCTGCCAGAATGACAGGATCTCAGAGTTAGTAGAGACATCGGAGGTCATTTAGTCTAAACTATACATGCACAAGAATCCCCTCTGTAACACATCAGGCAAGAGGTCATCCAGTCTTCACTTGCAAACCTCTTGGGAGGGTGAAACCTTCTACCTCTCCTGACTGCCTTAGGGGTTCTTAGGGGTACCTCTCATTGTTAGGAAGTTTTTCTGCACACAGAGCTGAAATTGGCCTCTCTGCCAATTCTACCTGTTGCTCCCAGAAACAACTGTGTGTAATTGTGGGGGTGGCACAGGGCCAGACAGGAAAACCTAGGTTCAAAACCCACCTCAGACAATTCACTAGCAATCTGACTCTGGATCAGTTCATTTAACCTCTCTGTGCCTCAGTTTTCTCATCTGTGAAATGGAGGAGTTGGACAAAGTGTCCTCTGAGTTTCTTTCCAGCTCAGCTCAAAATCTATGATCTGATATCCATTCCTTCTTCAGTGTAAATAGCCTTTCAAATACTTGGACATAGATACATCTTCATTTCTAGGTTTAAACATGCTCAATTCCTTCATCTTGGTTTTTTTTAATATTCTGATAAGTATGACCTTTTAAAATATTCTAACATTTATTTCAACATAATGAGTTTCCTTTGTAAGCCTATGCATTTTATTTTATGTATTTAAAGCATTATTTTAAGGAGGGGTCCACGAGCTTTATCATCATGTAACCAAAGTGGTCCAGGACCCATAAAAAGTGAAGACACTTTGCTCTAAGTCTTACATGGTATGATATGGAGGGCTTGGTTCTATGATTCTCATCTCCCTCCTCCAATGCTCTCCAGTTGGCCAATGGCTTTCTCTCAATGTGGTCCCCAGAACTGAACACAAGTCTACAGGGAGCGGGTCCTGTCCGAGGACTCTCACCTCCCAAGTCCTGCACGCTGGGCCTCTCTTAAAATGTATCCTAAAATCTCATTTGCTTTTTGGGTTCCCATCTCACACTGTTGACTCATACTGAGCTTGGAGTTTGGTAAAAACCCCAGATCAGATAAGTGATAATGCTGAGATCAGTTCAGAACTTACCCTGCTTCTTGGAAAGACCGGCAGCCTTTGATATTCATGGGCAGAGGGTGTATTTCTGGGAATCAGTGGGAGCAGGAATTCAGTCTATCATAAAGGTCTGCCCTTGGCACTACGGGGGCACTCCTCCCCCAATCTGAAAGCTACCCCCAAACCAGAGAGTGCCCTGGCTACTCTGGAGAAGAAGAGAATCTAACATCAAACATATTAATTTACATTGATATGCTGGGTACTTAGGGTCACAGACTGACAGCTGAAAGGGCCCTCAGAGAGCATCCAATGCAAATCTCTCATATTACAAATGGGGAAACCGAGACCTAAGAAGGAACTAGAAGAGGCATTGGAAACCATCTGAACCAACCCTTCCATTTTGTGTATGTTAGTGAGCCAACAAACATTTATTAAACAACTACTGTGTTCCAGACTCTCTGCTAAGCTCTGGAGTTCTGTGAGGATTCTGATACTGTGGATTCAAATCTTACCTCTTAAGTGCACTTGTTCTTGTGACCACAAAAGTTAAGGGCAGGGCAGAGCAGAAAATTTCAGTCCCCAGCCTTCACTCCTTGGGCTCTCCCGAAGGGCGGTTGCGAATCCCAAGGCACTTTAAGAATACAAAATCAAGCTACTCTTATAAGCAGTTGTATGACCTTGTCCAAGGTTACCTAAGTAGTGAGTGGCGGGAGGGGGGAGTGTTAGAACCTGGCAGCTCCGGCTCCAAAGCCAAGACTGTTCATTACTTGGAGGCTTCAGCAGTAGCAACAGACAGAGCAACAGACTAGCAGAAATGTGAAACCATCAAGAAAGAGTGAAGAAGACCCACCCTGTCTAGCTGAAAATCCGAAGGACAGCATGCTGAAAGGGGAAAATTCTTGCTGCCTATCAAGCCCAAGCAGGCTCTTTGGGTACCAGGCATCTGGCATTTGTCAGCTTCAGTCAGCGTCCCCCTCCTCGACAGAGTGTCCTCTGACATCAATAACTCTCTGTCTCTTTCCACTCTAGACAAATTGTTTGCACAGAACCAGAAAGAAGCGGGGACTGGAGGGGAATGGGAATTCATGAAGCATGGGAGACTGACTCTGGGTCTGACCGGACCAGTCACAACTAGAGCCTGGGAGCTTTCACGGGCTCCCGTCCATGCAATACAGACAGTCTGTCAAGCTCAGGCTGATAGGATATTGTATTTAACGACAGGAATTCCAGCTTCGGTAACAGGACCTTCGTGTCAATAGCTAAGGTAAATACATCGCTTTGTAAAAACGAAAAGCTACGTGCACAGGCTGTCCTCAGCCCCCCTCTGAGGCGGATGAGCAATTAGGCCCTACTTGGCATCTGTGGCCAGCGCCCATTTCCCGGCACACAATACTCTCCTTTATGCCATGCCCCAGTGGACTGTATTGGAAATACATTTCTGGGCTGAGCTGGACTACGGTTGAACTATATACGTGGTAATCATTAACCAGAAATGGCATTTGCGAGGATGAGAAAACGTTAGTGCCTTCTCTCTCTTTTCATCCCTCTGACAAACAGAATGTACTGAATTTAGAACAGGTAGGACCAGTCACACCAAAGACACCGTGTTCTCCCTTGGCATAAGAGTGGCCCAATGTGAAGGTGGGATTTGACAGTGTGGAACTCATTTCCAAGAGCCTTCAGGGAAAGGGCTTGCCTAAAGGGATGGGATGCAATTGTATTTGTGGCTTTAATCAATCAATTAATAGACATTTATTTATATGCTATCCCCTGAGATCTCATCCACCCTCTCTTAATCTAATGGAAAGGCAGTGTGGTAGAGTGAATAGAGACTGACCTCAGAGCCAGGGCAATTTGGGTTCAAATCTCCCCCTGTGACTCAAGACAAAACCCTTAACCTCTCAGGGCTCTGGGCAATTCTCCTAGCTTTTGCAGAGAGGGTGCTAACCTGCACTGGTGAAGACTTTTCTCATCTGGAAGTTCCCTATATCAATGAAATCACAAGTCTGCCTTATCCCTACTAGGTGCTAAGCAGTGTGCTAGGCTTGGGAAATACAGAGAAAAAAGTTAAAGAATCCCTGCCCTCAAGGAGCTTACAATTCTAGGAATAGAAACAATACTTCCTCATATAGATGTATACAAAATATAAATAAACAAAATATAAGGAAATTTTTTGGGGGGAGGGGAGGTACTAGTCTTGGGTGGGAGGAGGAAGGGTGGCCCACATAGGAGGTGGTGTTTAACCTGAACAGAGTAGATGGTTCACAACTAAAAGGGAAAGCTGAACAGCTGAACTCCAATCACCTGTGTCTTCCCAAAGATGATAATGATATTGACTATTGACATCAACAACTAACAGGCATAGAACTCATTCCAGCCTAGTCATCCTCATGTCTTTGCTTTCCTCAATCCTATCTGCAGTTTGAGAAGAAGGTTAATTTAATGCCCATTTCCATAGAGCTTTAAAGTTTGCAGAATGTTTTCCTCACAACATCCCTGTGATAGTCACAGGACACATATTAATGTCCCCATTTTTCATTTGAAGGAAAACTGGGGTCTAATGAGGCAAAATAGCTTTCCTAAGGTCCTATAGCCTGTAAATGGCATTGCTGCTTATAAAAGCAGATTAAGCTTCTGCAGTGCTTTGAATTTCCCAACAGCCCCTTGCTACAAACCATACCAAGGAGGCGAGATACAGAAAGTTTCTCCTTTGCATGCTTGCTTCAATTTGATGCAGAAATAATCTTGTCTAGAAATAAAGCTCATCTTGATTCAGGATAAAAGCCCCCAAACTAATACAATCTCTCTGCTCCTTATAGTTCCTATCAATAAACACTTTATTAAACATTTACTATATGCCTACCTTGTTGTAGAACGGATCTTTGTTTAGGTAGGAGTTGGATTTTATCTTGTAAGCAAAGGTTTTGGTTTTGTTTTGCTTTGTTTTGGCAAGGGGGATGACACAGTTAGATCTGTGTCAGAGGCAGAATATTTTGGCCACTGTGTGGAGGAAAGATTGGAGAAGGCCAGACTGGAAACAGAGAAATCAACTCTAGGATCATGGGTTAGAAGCTGGAAGGAACCTTAGAGATCACCTCGACCAACCCCCTCAGGAAACTGAGGCATGGAAAGATTAAGCAACTTGCCCAAGGTCACATAGGTAAGTAGTGAGTGGCAGAGCTGAGATAAGAACCCCAAGTCCCCTGGCTCCTAATCCATGGTTCCTTCCATTAAGCTATACTTCCCTCCCTCAATTAGAAGGGTATCACCGTAGTCCAGATGAGAGGTAAGGACAGAGTGAAGTAAGGACATGGATGCAAGAGAAATTCTAGAGGTAGGATCATTGAGACTTAGATTAATGAAATGGCTGATTGATTACCAAGAGCTTAACTCATCAGCTTATGGTGAAGTGGTTGATTGATTGAAATATTCAATCAGGCCAAAACTTAAATCATTGGCTTATGTCAGGTCTCCAGTGGGAGTAGGTGGTAAGTAGAGGAGGCATAGAGAGAAAACAGGTCCCCTGATTTACAGCCAAATGCTTTTGCTTTTAGGTACGATGAAAGCAGGTAATATAAAGTACTGTCCTGTGACATCTAATTCCAGGAAAAACAGTTTGTCTTCTCAGTCTGGGATGAGTTGAACTTCAGAAAGAGGGCATCCAGCACCTCACAGTACCGTGTGACAAGTGTTCTCTGGAGTCATTTCAGCCTCACAGCTGAGTTCAAAGGTGATTTCAACCCAAGAGAGCCTCCATCCAAGAAACGCAAGATGTAGAAAACAGATTTAGCAAGGATCAACTTCGTTGCTTCAAATCATCACGGGAAAATTAAAAAAGTGAAAACTTCTTCAAAGTTTGGAGTTTCTGGTGGAATGTTTCTAATGTCCTGTGTTCCAACCACTCTCTTTGGGGGTTCCCTGAATAGCTATCTCAATGATCAGACATTGTCAGACCTAATGGCATATTGTCAGGTCAATGTGTTGATTTATTTTCCTTAACTGTGCTGGGGGAAGGACTGGAAAGTCATTGAGAAGTGACTGTGATATTAAAAAAGATGAATAAAATACCTGTTTCAAAAGACTAAACAGGCAAAGCCCATGTTTAGAAAAGAAAAAGAAACCTTAAAAATATTTTATTGTTGTTGAAGAAGGAAGAATCATCTCGAGGCAACAGCTGGGCATTGCAGAGAAGACTTTAGTGGAAGAATTTTCCACCCAATGTGTACTTCGAAAGAGAAAACAGAAAATCCACTCAAGTATCTCGCTACCAGAAAACAATTATTATTTTCTTTAGTACCAAAAGTACTACTTCTTAATATAGTACCAAAGTACTGGGTGGGTAAAAGCTCATGTATTCTCAGGGTTAATCTATAGGACATTTCCTAAAAACCGGTCTGGGGTTCAATAGTTCATCACATAAGAATCCTGGGGATAGGCCAGAAAATGCCCTGTGTTTGCAGTCAGAAGACCTGGTTTCATAAGCCGCTTGCTTACTCTGTGACTGAGGACAAGTTAGTTTGTTTCTCCATTTGTTTATCTGTGTCAGCATGGGGTTGTACTAGTTCGCCTTTTAGCTCAAACAGTCTGTGATTAACCCAATGGAAAGCATATTTTGGAAGAAAGAAAGAAAAGACTCCATCATCACCATCATCATCATCACAACATCTAGTATTTATATAGCCCTTTAAGGTTTGCAAAGGGAGCCAAGATGGCAGAGTGAAAGCAGCAACTTGCTTGAGCTCTCCCCCAACCCCCTCCAAATACCTATAAAAATGGCTCTAAACAAATTCTAAGGCAGCTTAACCCACAAAAAGACAGAATGAAACAAATTTCCAGCCCAAGACAACCTGGATGATTGATCAGAAAGGTATATCTCCCTGGGCTGGGAGCACAGTGCAGTGCGGCATGGGCATGCAGGCCACAGCAAACCTGGAGCAGGCCTCAGAGGACTGAATCACAGGCAGCTGTGGTGGTTTCCAGACTCCTCAATCCACGAATGCCAAAGACAACTTAGAAGGTCAGTGGGAAAAGTCTGTTTCTGCGGTGCTGAGAAAGGAAGTGGGGAATCAGGTCCATTCCCCAAGAGCATGGCCCTAGGGTGGGCAGCTGCTTCCTGAGCTTCCAGCCCAAAGACTGAGGGGGAATCCAGTGGCTGATCAGAGGGGGATTGCAGGGATCTCTCTGCTGGTGCTGAGGCAGGAATCTCTTGCTTTGCCTGTGCTTGGATATGGGTCACATTTCTGGACAGGGGTCCTGGGGTGAGGAGGAATGCTGGCATGGTGGAGCTTGTAGTGGCTGTGAACAGGAAACCTTCCTCACAGTTCCAGGGCAGAAATGAGTGCTTGTGTTCACTAATAGACCACAGCACAAGCCAGGAAAGGAGTAAACAGCTCGCCCCTTATCATACCACTTTGGAAGAACTGAAAATTTATGGGTCCCTACAAGTATCTCTGAAAACAGCTATATAAACCCCCAAAGCTTGGGACAGTACATTCTCCACATTGGAAGCAGACTCTTACCTTAACAAAGAGTTTAAACTCAAGTAATTGGCTGGGATCATGAGCAAGCAGCTCAAAAAGAGTCAGACTATATTATCTTACTTTGGTGACAAAGAAGATTAAAATATACAACCAGAAGACAACAAAGTCTGAGCTCCTACATCCAAAGCCTCCAAGAA